CACACACACACACACACACACACACACACACACACACACACACACACACACACACACACACACACACACTCAGAATCAATCAATCAATCAAACCTTTTTTTTTTTCAACTTTTTTGTTTATTTATTTTTAAATTTTGTATCTTTATTTTTCTAAAACACCTCCTACCCTGCAAAAAACAGAAATTCATTTCCAAAAAATACAGGTGACCTCAGGGACCATATATCTGATGATAAAAAATGACAAAAAAAAAATCCAACTTTTCTTTAATTTTTTTTTATTTTGTTTTTAAAAATCGAATTTAGTTTTTGATTTTTTAAAAATCCGACACAAAGTCGGATTCCAAAATACAAAATATGGGGTTGTAGGGCTTAAAATTCCCTACAACCCCATATTTTTTGTTTTGTTTTTAGCCTTTTATTTAATTCGGGAAAATTCTGGTAAAATTGGGTCCGCAGTGCGGACCAGGTAGGCCGCGGATGCGGACCCGTCTGCGTCCGCCATCCGAGATTGGACCCGCGGACGCGTCCGCGGGAGTTACATAGCCCATTGCCACGTGCCCTCAAATAGGACAAAAGCGGTTTTGGGTCGGTCCTCCGGTCCGACTGCGACGTGGTGAAAACCGTGTCGGATATCGAACTCGGAAAAGACTCGAGAGGCCCCGATAGCTTCTAGCAAATCGTCCATTCGCGGCAAGGGATACACATCCTTGGTAGTGATAGCGTTCAATTTCCGGTAGTCGATACATACCCGGACCGAACCATTTCGTTTTGGCACGAGGACCACGGGAAAAGACCACGGTCCCAACGATGGTTCGACCCACCCCAACCGCTCGAATTCCCGTACCCTTTCCAACGCCAGCTGTCTTTCCTTAAGGGAATATCGGTACAGTCGGCAATGTATCAGGCGTCGACCGTGCGAGCGGACGCAGGCGGTTGACGTCACCGGTACGGGGATGAGAAGCTCAAAAAGGAAGGCGGGAGGGAGAGAGAGAGAGAGAGCTTACACTCTGAACGCGCGCGCGCGCGCGAAGGGCCGCGGAAGGGAGGGGAACAACGGGATCAACACACTCGTACTCCTAGGCAGACGGTCCCCCAGTTCAGTTTCCCCGTCCCCACCCGGACAAGTACATACACGCATGCATGCAAACAATCAACAACCCTTGACAGGACATCTAATCATCCATAGACCTTCGACATCACTCATGCGCACAACCAGCTCCCATCACTCGAGACTTCACACACACGACATGCATAGACAAAGCAGCAATGGAGATAAAAGCGAGTCCTTCTTGTACACAAAAATTTCAATTAACTGCCGCCCCCAGGCGCAGCCTTCAAACCACCCAAGACCACCGACCACCATATCCACAAGGCCCTGCTGCGACAGGTGTCCAATCCCCACCATTGCTCAGTCCCTCCGATTGCTTCGCCCCGAGACTACCGGGGGTCCACCCCACGTCGTCACTCCGCCCGTCCTTGGGCTCGTCGAGCCTGCTCGACACATCGGACTCTCACGCATGGCTCGCGCAGCATTGCAGCCGAGATCAAAGAGGAAGAGAGGAGAGGGTTGCGCGGATTTATAGCGCGGGAGGCGGCGGGTTGTCAGCGCGAGGTGCGGGTAGCGCAGGTTGTAGATGAGCAGGACAGGAGGAATGTGGGGAGTAAGAGGGTTCGACCCGCTGGATGGCATGGTCCTACGTAATTGGGGTGTCCGTTCAAGTGGCGCGCGGTTTTCCGCTCTCCACATTGATCCGAGCATCCCAACTACGCGGCCAATCACTTCGCGGGGATAGGATCGAGCTGGGCGGAGGGGAAGACGTAGAGTCAAGCATGGGGAAAATGCGCGCAGCAAGAAGGGAAGATGGCGCGGGGATGCAAAGCAAGAAACGGGGATGCGAGATGCGCGAAGAGATCGGAGCTTGGGCGTGCGCGCGCAAAAAATTCAAAAAGTCCCAACCGCCCCCATTTCTTGGTTTTCATACCGCGACCGTTACTCGCCCGCGCGAGAGTTATTAACCAAACAAAATGAAAAAGCCGTTTCAAAAAGAAAACAAAAGCAGAAAGAAAGAAAAACCCCTTTCTGTCTGAGTCCGTACTTCGGGGCTTCTGTGGGATTTTTCCTCAAGGATACGGGAGGCCGCGCGGTACGGATCTGAGCTTATCACAGGCAATCATACCACAGATGAGTGGTGGATTCAAAGGCCCAGCTACAGCGTTTGCATGTCAGATCCACCTTCAAGCCTCTTTGGACCAGGTTTACCGCCGAGGGGGTAGCAAGTAGGGAGAGAAGCCAAAGATTCACAGCCAACCTAGGAGACGGAGCAATCTCCAGTTGACTCCAACATCGGATTAACTTCCTTTCAATCCGTTCCGGATCAGAGTTCAAAACCTGTCTCCATCTAGCTACTGCGACTGACATGGGCGTGCGGTTGGGTTTCTGGGACACGTAACCCTGTTCAACAGAATAAAAAACCAGGGCTTTGTCCCCTCCACCCGAATCTTCCCCTCTCCAACCCCACATTTTTGGATCCAATTTAAGGTCTGAAATAGCAGTTCCCCTCGCAAACAGTCTGCATGTCCAGTTCGCTTCCTCATCACACTCTTCCCAGACCCGAACTTGAGCTAGTTCGGCTGTTAAGGGGGGATGAGGAGAATCTCCTAGTTGTAAAAGGAGAGTTGGCTTTTCAAGGCTACTACCCTTCCAACTCTGGAAAATCCGTTTACCAGAAATATCAATACTCAGAAGTTTCCAGAATGTTGGGGGAGACTCCAACGGTCGGCTAACATACTAAGTACCTGGGGGATCAACCCCTTCCGGGCTTAATATGAACTTCCACTGGGCAGGGATAGCCTCGATAAGCTCACACACTCTTTCATCGACATACCACATTGAACCAAGAGACTCCCTCAGTACTGATGGGGATAACCATTGATTCTCACACTCATTCCATAAGTCTGCAATTCTCAGTATCCCCTTCTCGATCCACCTCCTCCCAAAACTTTGCCGAGACAGATCAGCAGAAAAATACGATCTATCAGTACGACGAATGTAGGGGTTCTCGAATAAAGGTTGCATCAGGACTTCCGATTTGGTGGTTGGTTGAAGCCAGGAGTTAGGAAGTAGCTTTTTCCAGGCTGAGATTACAACTTTCCAAAATTCCGAAGTAATACATCTGTTCAAAAAGGAAGGGAAAAGCAAGCAAGTCCATACATCTGTTGGTCTAGAGAGATTTCATTCCAGGGGTAGGATAGACTCAGCCAAGGCGATCCAATGCGTCTCTTCTTCATAGTTCACCGCCCTAATAATCCAGCGTACTAGCATTGCTATACTCTTCCGCTGCGGGTCAATTAGACCCATCCCACCCTCTTCCTTTGGAAAACACAGTAAGTCCCAGACGACTTTCGATAAAAAGCTCTCATTGTCCTTCGCAAATGGTTTCCAAATAAATTTGGAGGCCTGTCTCCGAATTAAAGCACATAAATTCTTTCCCAAAGGACGGACTGTAGCAACAAACCAGAGGAGAGCAAACAAGGCTCCATTAATCACCATAATGCGGTCGTAAGGAGAGAGGTGGGGGGCTTTTCCCCAGGCGGAAATTCTCTGCAACGTCCGTTGAAGAAGTATACCCTCTTGGTCTACAGTGCAAGAAAGCAGGACTACTTGAACCCCTAAAAAGCGTTCAGAGTTGCCTGAAACAATTCTTTTCATACCCCAATTCACCACTGGAGGGAAAGGGGGGGGGAAAAAAAACACAGACTTAGCCCAATTGACCGAGGCTTCCGACAATTCAGAGTAGTCATCAAGGCACAGTTTCAGAGATGACATAGAATCAACTGAGTTCTCTGAGATTGCAAAAAGATCATCGGCTAGTGCCTTAACTTTACATTGGCCAGATCCAGTCTCGATACCGATGATCTGAGTATGTGATCTTATGTTGCATAATAGGTTCTCTATTTAAATGACGAACAAGAGGGGGGCCAAGGGACATCCTTGGCGTAGCGATCTCGTCAAAGAGAAAGTTTCTGACAGATTGCCATTAACCATCACTGCAGCAGTAGACAGAGAGTACAGGGCTGTCACCCAGTTACACAAATTCTCGCCAAAGCCCACGTGTCTCAACGTAGTAAGAACATACGTCCAGTTTACTCGGTCATAGGCTTTCTCTAGGTCCAGCATCAAGATAGAGGTGTTCGCTTTGGAACTCTCCACTAACTCAAGAGCTTCGACTGCCGTAACTATATTGTCAAAGATCGAGCGACCTTGGACAAAGGCAGCTTGATCCTATTTTATCAAGGAAGGCAGATATCGACCCAAACGACGAGCAAGGACTTTTGCCAACAGCTTATACGACACGTTAAGCACTGAGATCGGGCGCCAGTTTCGAATCTCTGATTGATCACCCTTCTTATACAGTAAGGACATAACCCCATTCCGCATGCCCTTCGATAGATTGTTTCCTACCAACACTTGGTTATAAATCTCAACCAAATCCCTCTTGATGTCTCCCCAAATAATCAGATACAATTCCACCGGGAGACCATCATCTCCTGGGGTTTTACCGTGAGCCATAGACTGCAACGCTTCCCAAGTTTCTTCTTCAGTGATCGGACGGTCCATATCCAATCTTCCCTGAGTGGATAGTCTGGCTGTGAATGCAGACCAATGGTCGGAACCCTCTGAAAGGCCCTCAGTTATATCCTCGTCTGGGCATCTAGTTGTTAAAATATCTTGGTAATACATAGCCGCATAAAGACAGAGTTGGTTTTGGTCATGAGCAACCGGTAACTCCTGATCAAAGGGGTGTGACAGCACACTCATCGACCGAGTCAATCACTTAGGAGTAAGCTTATGAAAGGACTTTCTAGTCATGCGGTCATTGACCGCAATCCCTTTAACTCTTAATCTTTCTGCCAAAATATCAGATTGTTCTTGCTGAAACACGTCTCATGTCGCCAAGTGCTTTTCCCTAATAGGGCTCCACACCAAGTTGGAGATAGGGTGCAAGTTCATACGGTTCTCTGGACTTGTGATCTGACAACGTGTTTGCCCGTTCAACAATATCACTTGTAACATTCCAAACATTCGGGGACAATAAAAAGAAATCCAGTCTTTTGCTAACCATTCCTCTCCCTTCTCGGATGTTTGAAGTCGAGGTAAAACCCGGGCTACCAGGATGAAGAAGGCTGTAGTGTTCCAATAAATCTAATTCAGACATCAAATCAGTTAATATTTTGACGTCCCCACTGCCTCTGGTTTCATCATTTTTATCCAGAGAAGTGTTTCAGTCCCCCGAAATAATTAAGTTATCACATTCCTGAATGAACAAGGGAAGGTCATGAAAAAAGGCTTCCCGTTCTTTGCTGTTATTCGGTGCATAAATTGATGCATTTACCCACTCCTGATTACCCATCCAAAGTTTAATCCAGCACCAACGACCCCAAAAGTCTGCGCAGAAATCCACAATCTCAGCATCTAAATTTCGGTGGACTAAAATGGAGACACCACCCTTCGACCCCCGAGCTGGAGACCAGATCTGGGGGCCATCCCACCATGCGCCCAGTTCTATCACTTTCGATTCTGATAACTTAGTCACTTGAATACAGACAATATTCACCTTCTTGTCATGGATCCAACTCTTCAGGAGGCTTCGTTTGTTTCTACCGTTCGAATCAGCTAACCCCCGGATATTCCATGTAACGACCTTAAGCCTGCCCATTTAAGGGCATGGCGCCAGACGATTGGATTTGGGCAGGATGGGACTGAGGCCAAGGTTCAAGGAGAGTTTGCTTTAAGAAGGGGGAATCAAGCTTTTTGTCCTTGCCAAGTTTAGAGTTCAGCTCATCAAGGAATTCAGCCGACATATTAGTAGCAACCCTAATACGACGCAGGTCAGGCTTCTTTGCTTCCAAGAACCATGACATCGGAATCAGGCGAAGGCCTTCTCTTTCGAGGGAATCCAATTGTCCTGGTAGGAAACGAGCACCAAATAGCGGTGCAAAAAACTTGACACGACTGCCAGCAAGATCGACAATAAATCGGGGCATTGTCATTTCCGCAATAAGTCGAAAAGCAAATTTGTTTTGAAACAGACTCTGGGCAAGGCCCGTGGTGGCACAGGGCATCGGGGACTCCGGACATGCCATATGGAACAACAGAGGGTTACCATCTACTCCGATCCAAGAAATCACCCAAAATGAATCTCTAACCGCAGCACATACAATTGGTAACAATCTTGCTTCGACGCAGTTTTGACCCTTGGAAAGAGCTTCCATGCGTGCTCGGGAAGATTTACGCTTACCTGCAACTCCCGAAGGAGTACGGGATCCAAAGTGGAGGGAACCAACCGAACTGCCAGAAGCCTCCGCTTGCAGTTTGTCGATTTGGATCTCGACTTCATTGCCATCACTCAACCTTCATGACTTTCCAGGAGATTCACCCCGGATTCGACTACCACCAGCGGAAGTTGTTCCACCAATCCGAATAGTCCCTCGTTGATGTTGAACCGCTGTACCTCCTCCTGTGCTCGGAGCTGGAGGGAAGCCTCCCTCGCAGTAGGCCCAAGGGGCAAACGTGTGCAGGTTCACGAAAGACAGACTTGCGTTGAGGAATTGATCCGAAGGAGGGACACCAAGTTGTTGATGTAGAAGCGGATACTGAGGCAGGCCTTGTAGGAGAGAAGCCCAGGCTAAATTAGTCGCAGGGTTCCCTAAAGGGGGCTGCTGTACACCCCAACCTCCATTTTGTAACCTCGACAGTGGTAAAAACGTCGGGTTTGAACGTAATGAAGCTCCAGCGGGAGCGCTTGGTGCAGCAGAACTCCCAGCTCCCACACTTGATGCCTACTGCGACGCCACTCCTGGTGCATATAGGGTTCCCTGATACGTAGAGCGAAGACCACCTGTGCCTGGTACGCCAGAAGCCTGCGGGTTGCTACGAGACGGCTCTCCTTGAGTTCTTCTAGCAGGACGTCTGCACGTTGCTTCCGTGTGAAAAAAGGTACGACACCTTTTACACCAATCGCTCTCCGCACAAGCCATCCTAACCTTCCATCAAATCACCTTGGCAAGTTTTCACCCAAATCTTGTCCTTCATATGCTCCTTTCGACTCGGATCGATGTCAAACCGAAGGTTAACCAACTTGGGATCCATCTCGTCAGCTTCCGGAAGATGAGCTTTGACGATCCTACCAATCGCCCTTTCGACGTAGTCTCTAAGGAAGACCATCTCATCCAGGGGGACGCCAACCGCTACAACCCAAAAGATGTTCTCATCGATCGTCTTCCTCCAGTCTCTCACCTCCGCCCTAGTCATCCACGGTTTAAACTTTGTGTGATACATCGTACCTGCCAGGTCAATAAAGTCCGACTTCTTCAACAGCATCCAGTCAGTGACTACCTGCGCCCTTGGGATATATGAGGCCACATTCGGAGACTCAACCTTGATTCTCTCGCGCTTGAAGTCAGCACCGAAAGCATCGTCTCTTATCCATCCGTCCTCATAGGCGCGAATAACATCCTCTTTCACTCTTCTCGGGAGGAACCTTGCCCCGTCTCGAAATATCACCGTCACTGTTCTGGCTTTCAACCATTCCACCTTCAACTCATCGATTGTGCTATTCAACACGAATGTAACTTCCCTGCCATTCACCTCCATAGTACCTCCATCTATGTTTGCAGGAAGGATACCATCCTCGTAGCATGCCCTCACCATTTCCTTTACACGTTCATCTTCCAGATAATTATCATTTGGCACCTGAGTTCTATCATTATGACACCCCATCTCTTGGTCCCCCAGATGGGTATGCTCCGCCTCCATTCTCCTTTAGTGAATCCGGTAGTTAACCGACTCCCTCTGAAACTCAGTCAAACGTAACCAATACCTGTTTTCCATACGCCAACCCCGCAAACAGATACCTCGACTCCCCAAAACTACACCAAACAAAAGCAAACGGGAGGAACAGGAACAGGAGCAGGAGGGAGCGATGCGAGCACTATCTGACCGCTGACATCAACAACAATGGCTGTCGCCACCGGCTTTCGTCATCGCAAAAGCATCGTGATGCCACCCGCGTTGAGTGTTCCACGCCGGAACCATCCCCGCCCACCAGGCCCGCCCAAGACAGGCAGCTCTAGGGTCGAGTGCGCAACGCACCAACGCTAGCGCCGCACGCACCGCCCCGCCCGTATAAATCTTTGACTTGGCCATTTTCGGGAGTGCAGCCTCGCCACAGCAGCTCCTGAGTTCAACCTGTCACATTGAATTTGGGAGCTGTCAGAACTCCCCTTTGAGCCTCCCGCCTGTAAAAGGCCATTTTAGGGAGACCTCTCCCAGAGGAGACCTCTTGGGGAGGCCTGTGCTGCGACCGGAGAGCACAGACAAGCATTCTCCTCACAGTTTTCGTCGCCACATGCTGGACAGTGCTGGACAGTCTCTGTCTGAAGTGTGCCTCCTGGCCTCCAAATCGGAGAGCGCCCCAGCTAGGGAGTGCAATGTGGCGAAGGGCACTCCCGAATGGATTTTCGCAGTACTCCTGAAATTTTTCTCGAAGTCAGGGAGTAGTGTGCAAGGCCCTTAGGGGTATCGAACGAAAATAACCCTACTTTTAGGGGCATTTCAACAATTTTCTCAAAAAATGAAAAAAGAGCATCTGTCCTCGCCATCAATCAAGATCTGTCTGAGGGCGTAGTCACAAATTATGGCCGGACGTGGACGTATCTGACCCAAGTTATCTCTAGAAAAAATTAACCAAAAGAAGTCCTAGTGTGAACGTGCCGTCGGATCTCTCTTCCCAAGTGGACGTCCCTCTGGCTTTTGTTTTCTTTTTTTTCCCAAAATATTCAGGCATTTTTTCGTTCTTAGGTCGTTTTGGGAACGACCCGGCCTGACAGCAGATAGAGGAGAGAGAGCAGGACCATGGTGCCATTAGCAAAGAGGGTTGGATTGAGCTCCTGAATCTGAACGTATTCAATCTCGAATCTATGCACTTGTCCAGGAACACGTCTAGATTCGGGCGTTCAATCGAATCCATGTTGCTAGTGGGACCTCGCCCCAGGTGCTGACGGAGGGTTGGGCATGGGGACGAACGATGGGTTGCCGGTTAAGGGAGGGGTAAAACGGTAATAGCGATGATATAGGGGTGATATAGGGGCCGAAAGGTCGGATCGGATCGACCATTGATTTTTGGTATTGGTACCTACGCAGTCCGTCTCTTCCGTTCGCGGTATAAGTCCGCTTGTGTCGTTTACCATTCGCTCTCGTGGTATCATGGCGGCCGTCTCGCGGTAGCTGGGTACATGATGATGCATTGGAACGTCACGGCGTCTTCATCACGTCGTCTCGATCCAGCAGCAGCAGTACTTGTACTCTCACATCTCCATCCATCTCGCCGTTTCTATCGTCATCCTTTCTGTGCGCGACTTCGTGTGCGACTTGTCCGCCTGTAAGGGATTGGCTTTCTCCAAGTTATTTCTGCATCCCTCTTGCTTGTCTGCACGGTGCTGTGTGTATTCTTCACCGGGTCCGGCGAGTCCCCCGCTTGTCCAAGAATTTCTGTTGACGAGTACAAGTTCCATAAATACTTCTGTACATTGTTGTCTTTTGGCGGGGTGCTGATTTCGTGTTCGCTTTTGGCGGGGTGCTGTTTTAGGTCAACGGTTTCGTCACTCTCGTGGGCTTCTTTTTCGGTGTCCGTCACTTGGTGTGTTGACGAGTATAAATTGTTTTTGTTCCATAGATATTTCTGTACATTGTTTGTTGTTGGCGGGTTGTTTTCGTGTTAGCCTTGAGCGGGGTTCTGTTTGACGTCAGCAGTTTCGTCGGCGGCGGCTTTTCGCACCTCCCTCTCTCGGTCATCATGAGGGAGTGTATTTCTATTCATATCGGCCAGGCTGGCATCCAGGTTGGCAATGCCTGCTGGGAGTTGTATTGCCTGGAGCATGGAATTCTGCCGGATGGTCAGATGCCGAGCGACAAGAGCATCGGGCTAGGCGACGACGCTTTCAACACGTTTTTCAGCGAGACGGGAGCAGGCAAGCATGTCCCTCGTGCTGTCTTCTTGGACTTGGAGCCGACTGTCATTGATGAAGTCAGGACTGGCACGTACAGACAGCTCTTCCATCCCGAGCAACTCATCAGCGGGAAGGAGGATGCTGCCAACAACTTCGCTCGCGGTCATTACACCATTGGCAAGGAGATTGTCGACCTGTGCTTGGACAGGATTCGAAAGTTGGCCGACAATTGCACGGGTCTGCAGGGTTTCTTAGTGTTCAATGCTGTCGGAGGCGGCACTGGGTCCGGCCTTGGTTCTCTGCTTCTCGAGCGTCTGTCTGTGGACTACGGCAAGAAGTCGAAGCTCGGATTCACGGTGTACCCTTCTCCGCAAGTCTCCACCTCTGTCGTTGAGCCGTACAACAGCGTGCTCTCGTCTCACTCTTTGCTGGAGCACACGGATGTGGCGGTACTGCTCGACAACGAGGCGATTTACGACATTTGCCGCCGCTCGCTCGACATCGAACGACCTACTTACACCAACCTTAACCGCTTGGTGTCGCAGGTTATCTCCTCGCTCACCGCTTCGCTGCGATTCGATGGAGCGCTCAATGTGGACATCACCGAATTCCAGACCAACCTTGTGCCATATCCGCGCATCCACTTCATGCTTTCCTCTTACGCGCCAGTCATTTCCGCAGAGAAGGCTTATCACGAGCAGCTTTCGGTGGCTGAGATCACCAACTCTGCATTCGAGCCTTCCAGCATGATGGCAAAGTGCGACCCACGTCACGGCAAGTACATGGCCTGCTGTCTCATGTATCGCGGCGATGTCGTGCCCAAGGATGTCAACGCCGCCGTAGCCACTATCAAGACGAAAAGAACCATTCAGTTCGTTGATTGGTGCCCGACCGGCTTCAAGTGCGGCATTAACTACCAGCCGCCGACCGTCGTTCCGGGCGGCGACCTGGCAAAGGTGCAGCGCGCGGTCTGCATGATTTCGAATTCCACGAGCGTCGCCGAGGTCTTCTCTAGGATAGACCATAAGTTTGACCTGATGTACGCCAAGCGCGCGTTCGTTCACTGGTACGTCGGCGAGGGTATGGAAGAAGGAGAATTCTCTGAGGCCCGTGAGGACCTCGCTGCCTTGGAGAAGGACTATGAGGAGGTGGGCGCGGAATCTGCCGACAATGAGGAGGACGATGGGGAGGAGTACTAACTTTGATTTTTTGAGGATGTTGTAGTGTGCTCGGAGTCGCAGTCGTGGAAAAAAGACCAATTTGAGGACATGGCCTCAGAATTAGCCGATAATGAGGAGGAGGCTAACGAGGAGTGCTGACTTGAGGAGTTCGTAGTGTTCTCGGAGTCGCAGTCATGGAAAAGGGGACTGATTTGAGGAGGTAGGCATGGAAATTGCTGATATTGAGCACGGACGACGAGGAGTGCTGACTTGAGCGTGTCGTAATGTTCGCGGCGTTGGAGCCATGGAAGAAGAATATGAGGAGGTAGCCGTGGAAGAAGACTATGAGGAGGTAGCCGCGGAATTTGCCGACAATGAGGAGGACGGCGGAGAGGAGTGAGTGCTAATTGAGAATTTTCTAATTTGAGAATTTTCTAGTGTTTTGAAAATGGCGCGCGAGACTCTGGCAGCTCGCACAGGTCGGGAATCGTGAGGAGGTGGGCGTGGATGTTGCCGACAATGACGAGGACGACGGGGAGGAGTGCTAGTTTGAGAATTTGTAGTGTTATATAAAAAGAAAGGCGCGCGAGACTCTCGAAGGACGAGGATTATGAGGAGGAGGTAGACTTGGATGATGCCGAGGGTGACGAGTTGGTGAGGACTACAACTTTGAGAATTCCTTAATGCATGAGCGTTGAATGCTGCGTCTCGTGTAGAACACGATTGTGTACAATGTGTCGTAGTTAGCGAACGTCAGATGATGAGAGGTGTCCTGTGTGTGGAGGGAATTGGTCATTTACCCCTTTCGGTATGTGTGTGTGACTGCATGTCTGTGACTCTGTGTGTGTGTGTGTGGAGAGAGAGAGAGAGAGAGAGAGAGAGAGAGAGAGAGAGAGAGAGAGAGAGAGAGAGAGAGAGATTTAGGTTTGCGATTTGCAGTTTGTGAAATGGCAGTGTTGAGATCTCATGGTTTTGCTTGTGGGAGTAAGTTGAGCTACGTATTGAGAATAATAAAGAGTGGGGGGTTGAGTCCACTTGCGTTTCAGTCTGTGCTCTTGAATTCTCGTACGCACATTGATCGAATTTGGCCTTGAAGTCACGTAAGTGCGTTCGTAATGACCGAAATGTCCGTTGTGATGAAGAATTAAGCTCGTTCGTAATGACGGAAATGTACGTTGTGCTGAAGAATGAGGGGTTGAATAATTGAATTGACTTCCGTGACGCCCGTGCTCTCAAATTGTGTGCGCGCGGTGGCCTTGAAAGTTTGGTCGTAATCATCGAGATAGACGTTGCTCTCTCATCGTAATCATCTCGAGATGAACGTTGCTCTCTCACAAGCGTCGCAAGGATGAATTTGAACATCGAGCTGTTTGCGAAAGTCGCATGATTGTATAATTCTTCACCGTACTTGAATTTGCAAATTTTGAAAACATAATGAAACGGTAAAAAACGAGTTCAATTTCCCGGAAATCTGTGGTTTTCTAAATTCCGATGCATATGCAGATTATGAAAACATAATGAAACGATAAAAAACGAGTGTAATTTTCTTTAATGTCTGTGGTTTCTAAATTCCGATGCATTTTCTTAAAGTTAGACTCTTTCTGTGTAATTCACTGACTTTCCCTGTCGGAGGAGCGAATGTGCTAGTCATGCGCGAGTCTGAAAGGAGGCCAGGCAGTTCTCTCTCTCTCTCTTGCGCGCGCACTCTCAGGCTCTTCCTCCGTGTTCCGCCTTTTCAAACAGCAAGAGATGGGCAGTTGTTTGTATTGACAGCATATGACAGCAATGTGTGTGTGTGTGTGTGTGTGTGTGTGTGTGTGTGTGTGTGTGTGTGTGTGTGTGTGTGAGAGAGAGAGAGAAAGAGAGAGACCGGCGGTTGCTTGCATTGACAGCAATGTGTGTGAAAGACTCACAGAGAGAGAGAGAGAGAGAGAGCGGCGGTTGCTTGCTTTCACAGCGACGTCTCTCTCTCTCTCTCTCTCTCTCTCTCGCTCGCTCGCTCGCTCGCTCGCTCGCTCGCTAGCGAGCGAGCGAGCGAGCGAGCGAACGAATGAGCGGCAAAAGCAGAATTCTTTCGATGAATGTCTCCATTGTCACGAATCAGCCAGCGCGGCACTGTATCATATTATCACCAGCACAATAAAGGATTAACCTTGGTCCTCGCCTCAGCACTCGACTTTGTACGTGTATGTGGACTGTAATCAGGACCGCGTGCGTCCGAATTAGATAAATCTGGACCCATTCGACATCGTGAACATATGGGGACCATCACCACTCCCGATGTCAATGAATGGTTTGTACCATCCAAGCATGCCTTTGGTTTTTTTTCTTTTCTTATGTGGGACAAAGCATGGAGTGCCTGTGGACCCAGAGGAATAGCTATCCCTCTTGACTTGAAATTCCACAGTCGTGACGTGCCATCCAGGGGCAAAGTCCCATCAGAAACGAGCATTGGCCTAAAAGGGCATGAATCGGAATTTTTAGGGATAGATGCAGAAAAGCAAATTGACCGTGATTTTCTGCATCCATTCCCCCACAAGCCCAGATTCAGGTGTTAAATTCAATCTTGTTTGGTGGTGGGACCTTTCCCCGGGTTTTTTCCTTATCCACAGGGGTCATCAGGGGCGAGGTCCCACTAGGAACTTGAAAGAGGATTTTGCGTTTCTCTCCTGAATCTGGACGTGTTTTAGGAGAGATGCAGAGAAGTAGTTCAATTTCGATTTTCTGCATCTTTCCACGGAAACGTCTAGATTCAGGCGTTCAGTCCACTTCTCTCTTTTCTGTTGGGACCTACATGTAGCCCCGGGTGCTCTATGAATGATGACCATAGGGTGGATTGTCGGAATGATGGTGGAGACGACGCCAAATTATGGCGTTACTGAAAAGAAAAATTGAAAAAAAATAAAAATAAAAAACAATTATGGCGTTAATACTCTCCCTATTTGAAACCCCGTCTGAACGGGTTCCGCTGTTTGTCATAACGAGCGACCTCCGAGTATCTGCGTGAGAGATGCATGCGCTTTTTACCCCCTCTATAACACGACCCTCTTTTCGTTCCTTTTTTTTTTCGGGAGCTCTGGCTTTCCCTTCGCTCCAACGTGTAGGTGCAAAACCTGTCGTAGCCTCGGATCTTCTGCCATTACAACTCTCTCTCTCTCTCTCTCTCTCTCTCTCTCTCTCTCTCTCTCTCTCTCT